TAAAGAACCATTGGTCTATCTAATCAGTAACCTGGTATGAGGCGCGATAGCTCAGTCGCTAGAGCAGTAGTCTCGTAATCCGGTGACCCGGGTTCGAAACCAAGTCGATGCGCTAGTGCCCTTTGGTAAGGCATTAATCCTCATTACCAGGTCCCTCGGAGAGGACCTAAAGCCATCGGCCGTCTGGTTGCTTGCTTACAAGCATTTATGCTTTCTTAGCAGTCAGGTAAAATAACCACCACCACGACCACAATTATTATTTTTGTTTTGTTTACAGCACTGAAAGTCTGAAACATGTACCTATGTGATTCTGAATAAATTTCAAAATGATTTTCCTCTTGTGTGGACAACCAATCATACAACCAAAACTTGTTGTGGTTGCATTGTTTTTTTGTGGGGGTGTTCAGTTATACTATCCTCTAGATAACCATCAAACACAAACAATCCACAGATAACAATTACAGATAACATCTCATTAAAGCCTCTAGATGATTGACAACGGCATCACCCAATACGATGGGATTGTATTGGATGTCACGGAGGATTGATTGACAAGAGATAATAGCTTTTTAACATGTTTCTGGTCTCTGTTTTCACTCACTCCTAAGAGATAGATAATAGGCTATTAAGATACGGTTGATATCTCCTTTCAAATAAGATAAAACTGACCATAATATGCTTTAACAATATGTTTACATACAGTGTATGTAGTTGATATAACATTAAACAGATGAACGGATAATCGGCTATAAATACACATTAACATTTCTATTTAACCAACAAAAAAAGAGAGACAAAGACATGGGCCACAGCCGCCAAAACTAATACTTTCACTCTCCTCAAAGATACTGACAGTATATAGTTAAATAAACAACCTCATTTGAAGTATTTCTAGGCAAATCTTCTTTCTACTGGTGGGATTTGATATACAATTTTACGGAGGGGGGTTCTCTCTTCTCTTCACAATATCTCCTCTGTCGTATCTGATATAAATTTCTTTTTTCAATATATAAGTATTGAAAAAATAATAAAATTAGTAATAATAATGATAACAACAATAATGATAATAACAATAATGGATTTATATAGCATATTTTCAAGGGGATAAAAGGCACTGTTCTCCAGCCTATTGTAATGAATTTACAATTATCATGCACAGACAATAACTTACTACTTGAAATAAGTTTAAAAAAGAGACAGAGAGAGACAGAGAGAGAGACAGAGAGAGAGAGAGAGAGAGAAAGGGAGAGAGAGAGAGAGAGATAGAGGAGAGCTATTGAGGCAAATTGAAATGTTGATAATTCAAAAAGCTTCATGACATAGTGATATCAAACTAAACACTAAAAGTCCTTCACCTTTAGCGATAAAAATAACCCCAAAATTCTCCATGCATATCTGATAGGGTATCGTGAAGCAATGTAAACAAACAAGTTTTGGAAACTTCCTTATAACAATACAACAACAAACATTTCAATAACCTAATTTATTCACATCCTCAATAATTACTGACCCATTTTTATCGCCATCTGTATTTATTTACATAAATGGAGTATCTAAAAAAAATAGTTTCAGTTCCGGTTTGGATATATTTGTTTTGTAGTGTTGATAGTGGGTGTAAATGCATTTGCCCGGAAGTGGAGGCATGTTTGCATAATTTTCAACTCTTTTCAACTCTTCCGGTGAGGAAGACTGGTCTGTCAATGTAACTTTTTGTAATACATGTGCAGGTGTTAGTTTCATCACACAAAGATATAGAAATAACCAAGAATAACATTAGTGCAGCATATTTAATTTTTAGGACTGCCATTAACACAAACCGATAAAAAGCCGTTGGTGTCTGGTCATACCAAATTTTTGGTGAGTAGTGTGCATGCCCCACTTGTTGCTGCTCTCTCTCTCTCTCTCCCCCTCACCCCCCCCCCCCCCCAACCTCTTTTCTCTCTGCTCTCCGTCCCACTTTCTCTCCCCCCTCTCTCTCTTTTGGTCTCTCTTTCTGTCTGTTTCAGTCTCTCTCTCTCTCTCTCTATACTCTCTCTCCTCTTCTTTCTTTCTCTCTCTCCCCCCTCCCCCCCCCCCCCAGCCTCTTTTCTCTCTGCTCTCCGTCCCAAATTCTCTCTCCCGCCCCCTTTCGCTTTCTGTCTCTCTCTGTACTCTGTCTCTCTCGCTGTCTCTCTCTCTCTCTCTCTCTCTCTCTCTCTCTTTCTCTCCCCCTTTCTCTCCCCCTTTCTCTCTCTTTCCTTCTTTGAATTCATATTGTTTCAACCTTTGTATCTCTTTCTTTCTCTCATCCTGTCTTTTAAATCTAATGAGCGCTGTTAGATATTAACCTTTTTCAGTTCCTATCAAAAATCATTTCTTGGCATTCTATTCACATGCTCATTTTCCTGTCAGTCGGTATGTCCATCCTCCGTTTTGCTTCTGTTTGTGACTCTTTCCCTCGCCCCCTCCCCCCTTTTGTAACTCTACATAACTCTCCTCCTAATTTAATGAACTAAACAAGCTTAAGCACATTACATGTTATCTTACTGTTATCCCCAACGGCCCCCACTTCTTGAAGAACTGAAGGATTTAGACATTTTCATAGAATTTTGTCTGTCTCTGACTGTCTGTTTATGTCTCTGTCCCTTTCTCCTTAACCCATTAGCAACTAGAGATTTTGTAAAATTGGCCTATTACTCACTGGAAGATGTTGCAACATTGCTCTCATTTTGACATTGTTCTGAACAATATTAAACATGCGCTATTTTCTATGCAGAATCCTTCTGTAGACATCGTAAAGATTACGCATGTATAACATCATCACGGTAGACCCAAGAACGGATACTATAGCGCGTTGAAAACGGACGGGCGGTTTCGGGTGGTTCAGTGAGTAAAAGGAGGGGGGTTTGGGGCGGTTTAGTTGCAAATGGGTTAATGCTCTAAATGTCAAGACCCCCCCCCCCCTTCATCAAATAAAACATGCCAACTCATATTACATGCTACATTAATGACACCCCTCTGCCCCCCCCCCCCACCCTCCCCCTACTTGAAGGGCATGAGGATTTAAAAATGTTATCAGTTAAATTTTGGCCCAGATGCTTTCCTAATGCGGTGGTCACATCCCGCCGTACTTGCAAGTGCGTGCTGTCTACGTGCAAAAACATGGGCAAAATTTGGGTATCGGTACGTGGTGCGTACCGCCTCCATACGGATTTGGGAGCACGCAGACACACCGTAGCACTTTTAGTGCACGAGGAACTTTCGCTGCGTTCGGGCTACCGATTCACCCCCAGTGCGCGTGACGTGCGTGCCCGGTACTGCCAACGAGCGCACAACGCACTGACTCCGTGCGTTTTTTAATTTGTTTCCCACAATCACTTGCTCTACGGAAGGCGCACTTAGCACGTGCGTGCTGCGCACGTGATAAGCGCGTGGTCCGTGCTTACTCGCCACTTCCCCAGTTCAAGTTTCTAATGAGCACGCAGAACTCACGTGCACCGTACCGAGTAAGCACGTGCTCCGCACTTACAACGCACGTTGTGCGCACTGATTTATGCAGTATACAAAAGCCGAGCCGACGGAAGAGTGCCAACATTTCGTCTCCAAGATGGCGCCGAAGAAGACACAGAATAAGGGGTCAGCTGCATCTGCAGCTCAAAAGGCAGCGGATAAGAAGGCCAGAGAGGCCCAACAGAAACGGGCCGCGGAAGATGAGAGGGCCAGAGAGGAAGAGGAGAGGAGGAGCGAAAAAGAGTCAGATGGTGACACCAAAGCGTCTGATCATGAGGAGGGTGCTGCTGGTGGATCGGAGAAGGGGTCACATGAAAAGGGTGTGACAAAGGAAAAGGCCAACTGCTCGTTCTCGGCGAAACAGGAGAAGTGCCTGGTTGAGTTCTTCTCGGGCAATCCGGTCTTCTTCGATAAGTTTCCCAGGGTTTTCCCTTCCCTTGAGGCCCGTTGGCCGACCATCTGGTTGGGTTCGGTCATCTGCACATCCTCCCTCCAGGCCTCGGGGACCACGTTGCCATCCTCATCATCGTGGTCCAAATTAAGGTCCTGTAGTCCGGTCCGACGCTTTCACAGCCAATTGTGAAGGGTGAGGCAGCCCAACACAACGCGAATCACCCTGTCAGGCTCCAACAGCAGGGTGGTGAGTAGGCACCGCCACCGGTGAGCCAATATCCCGAAGCCTTTCTCCACGAGAGGTCCGATAGTTCATCACACTCTCTTTGTGGGTCATGGCACGGCGACTGTATGGCTTCAAGAGCCACTTTCGCAGGGGAAAAGCATCATCGCCTACGATGAAGTAGGGAAAGTTCCGGTCGTCACCTGGAAGTGGATCCGGTGCTGGGAATCCAATGGTGTTGTCCTCCAGTGCCCCCCGGAGGGTGGACTCGTTGAACACGCGTGCGTCTGAGGAAGAGCCGTTTGCCCCCACCTTGCACCACAAGAAGGAATAGTTAGCATCCACGATGGCCAGGAGCACCACAGAACAGAAGCGCTTATAATTGTAATAGAGCGATCCACTTTTATTGGGCTTCTTGATGGCGATATGTTTCCCATCGATCGCCCCATAACAGTGGTGAAAGTTCCAAGGCGTTCCAAACTGGCTGGCGACGGCTTTCCACTGGTCCTGTGTGGAGGGCATGTTGAAAATCTCCTCCTTATGTTCCTTGTAGATGGCGGTGCAGACCCCTGGCACGAACGTGGATATGCTGTTGTGTGCCACCCGGAAGTCGTAAATTTTAAAGCAAATACAAAGCAAAACCAAGAATTTGTTATGGCAGAAATGAAGACACACACCTTGGGCACTTGGTGATTCGAGGGGTCACTCGGAGCAGGAGCTCGGCGAAGAGATTGGGGTCCATTCGGATGAATCCGACATAGTCCCCCCGCGATTCACGCTCTAGCTCTTGGAACAACGTTTCGTACTGCCCGAAAAGCCTCCTCCTCCTCTCCTGCGTCGGCATCTCTGTTGCCTCTCTCTCTCCCATATCAAGGCTAGTAATACCACGTCGAGCTCATGCGCTGCCACTTGAAGGTGTTCTTGCAGCATCAGAACCCGGAGTCTCTGCGGTGGAATGGGCGGCATCTTGAGGAGGCAGCATACCTGGGACTTCTAGAGAAAATGGGAATGTCGTCCTATATACTTCGACATACCCCGACTCACCAAGTTCTTCGTACGTGCACGCACTTACAACGTGCGAGTGAGTAAGGACACCGTACGTAAGCAGCACGTGTAAGTACGGCCTCCGTAAGATAACGTGGCAACCGCACGGAGACCGTACGTTGTAAGCACGTAGTAAGCACGTTGTAAGCACGTACAACGCACTTACCACGTGCGCAACGTACGATGCACGCAACCGCTCTAGGCCAGGCGTGGCGTGCGGGCCACGTACTTACACCGTGCGTGTGACGTGCTTTGCCGGTACTCCCTCCCTACCTTTGCCACTCCCTCCCTACGTTTTCAGAAAACGTAGCGGCCGTGGCCTCCCCCAAAACCGTACGGATTAAAAACACGCACGGTGGGATGTGACCAACGCTTTAACGAGGACATTAAAACGATATCTGTCTGTCTGTCTAATGATTTAATCTTCTTTTAGATCCCACTCTAATGTAGTCTCCTAATACAAAGCACTTCAAATCTCCTGCAAATACAACATTAAAGAATGAATTTTTAATGGATCAAAATTCGCTAGATTAGAATAAACATAATGAGTACACAAACCACTCTGATATAATACGAACATGTAGTAAATTTCAATAGATTGTTCTCCAATATCAGCTTGCAAGTAGGTAAAGTTCTTTCTTAAAATGTACAAGCCTGCACAATTCAACTTCATTTAGATACATCAACAAAAAAGAAAAATGGTTATTTATTCTAACTTTCTAAAAGTGCAGCTATATTTCAAAGGGTCTGACTTTATAAAATAAAAATAGTAGGGAAGAAGTAGTAGAAAAGTAGTAGAAAACATTTTACAAACACACACGACTCTCACCCCCTCAAAGAAAGATTACCAGTACAAAAGCATTCTTCAAATCAACATTCCATAAACCTATCGCTCTAATAAAATATTATAAATAAAAGAATCTTCCATCTCCTTCTAAATCTAGTAAACCAACAAGACCCCCATTTCACACCAGTAGCTCAATTACTACTCCATCTTGCCACAGTACAGGGCAAATGGTCCACGATCCACATCAAAATTAGGCAATAATTCCCACCCAGACACTGCAATTTAGGGGCAAATCTCCGCGCTTACATTTGGGACGACAGTAATAGATAGGAGTAATAAAATGAATTAGCACTGGGCAGACATAACAAGACATGGGGGATGGCAACCGATGGGTAATGCTGTACAATCCGCAAGGAAGGTTGGGAACCAAAGGCTTGAGATGGCCTGTAAAATTTTCTAAACAGTCGTGAGAAGGGTTTACAACAAGTTATCTCCGCAGCTGTATGAAAGTGTTTTTTGGGGTTGCATCTTCTCTGTCCTTGAAACAGGTTTCCCAAGGCAACCAATGATATTCACTAATAGCAGCTTTCAGTGTATTATCAATGCGCATAAAATTTAGTTTTGAAAATATGTAACAAAAACCACATAGCCTTTCTTTTTTTGTAATGCTTTAGGAAACCAAATCAGTATTTAGAAAACTAATATGAAAACTGTTATCTTTCTACGACCAATTTTGTTAAATAATAAATGCTTATCTTTCAAGGAAGTCATATATGTTAATAATAATAATAATAATATTGGATTCTTATAAAGCGCACGTATCGACCTTGCAAGGTCCTCAAGGCGCTGCCGATGGTATTGGCAGAGATATAAAATTCAAACCTACTCAGTAATACTCAATCAGTTTGATAATTTACTGATTATTTGGTTAATTCATGAGTTAATATGTTAGTTAGTTAATTATTGTTTTACTAGAGTTGTTGGTTAACGAGCCAGAATGATATTCAGTCAATAAGTTTGCTTTTAATTAATATGATTGTTATATAAAGTGCTAGCATTACATAACCATGACTTCCTTCAACTTTACGACACCTTTAGATACTTACAGAAATCTAAGCTTGGGAGAAGCTGCACATCAATTCGTTGGTTGCCAGTATCCTCAGGCAAGACCTCACTAGCACCAAAGCACGAGTCAACTCCACCTGCAGTACACAAAACAAAAATCACTGCTGAATTAACTTGTTAGGTAGCTGAGATCACAATTTTCAAACTGGTAACACCTTGTGATGAAATTAAATTCTTTGCAAATTGGTATGTCTTTGATTATTTACATTTTTGTTCCTGATTCATTTAGAGACAACTTTGAAAGAATACTATCATTTGTTTGGGGCCAGATCGAAGGGCATCAACTCATATACTTCACCACAGAGTTAATGCCCTTCTGGCACTGAACTGATGTGTTTCAAAGCCCTCTCTTGATTAGTAATCATCATAGATCTATCTGGTTGCAGAGGTTAGGGTTACATGTAGATGCAGGACACATTCACTGATCTATGTCAACCATGGATGAGGAAATGTAAACATGCCCAGCTTCCTAGAAAGATACTGTTCTTTGAGAGCTGGTGATCATTGGACATTTGCCTGTTTAGAGAGGACAAACATGTAGTTAGGTGTAAAAGGATATAGTCACAGATATGTATGTCAACCCTGGTTTCAGATGTCAATGAACCACATCAGCTTATGATGACAAAGACAACACAACAGAGTGATCGAGGCCTGACTGAGTCAAAGACATCACTAAACAATGTCTCCTACAGTCATTCTAGAGGATCCAATGTATTTAATCTTTGGGACTAGTAAGAAATCTTGACATAGTTTTCATAAAAATGAGTGTATAAGGACACATTCCCAGATATGCATGTCAACCCTGGTTTCAAATGTCAATGAACCACACACAGCAGAGTGATCAAGACCTGACTGAGTCAAAGACATCACTAAACAATGTCTCCTACATTCATTCTAGAGGATGCTATGGGTTTCATCTTCGGGACTAGGAAGCAATCTTGACACAGTTTTCATAAAGATGAGTATAAAAGAACATATTCCCAGATATGTATGTCAACCCTGGTTTCAAATGTCAATGAACCACATCAGCTCATAATGACAAAGGCAACACAACAGAGTGATCGAGGCCTGATCTGACTGAGTCAAAGACATCACTAAACAATGTCTCCTACAGTCATTCTAGAGGATTCTATGGGTTTCATCTTTTGGACTAGTAAGAAATCTTGACATAGTTTTCATAAAAATGAGTGTATAAGGACACATTCCCAGATATGTATGTCAACCCTGGTTTCAGATGTCAATGAACCACACAGCTTATAATGACAAAAACAACACAACAAAGTGAATGAGGCCTGACTGAGTCAAAGACATCACTAAACAATGTCTCCTACAGTCATTCTAGAGGATCCTATGGGTTTCATCTTTGGGACTAGTAAGCAATCTTGACACACTTTTCATAAATATGAATCAGAGCCCCAGTTAACTAGACTTCTGGAAGGAAGGGGATATGGAAGTCATATCTCTTATATTTTTACGCTAATCTTTCTGTTCAGTCACTTTTCTATAGATAGTACGTCTCAGGAATCAGGATATGTTCTGTGTCTTTCCTCGCTTTGTGGAGGAATGTAGAAGCTAAGCTTATTCAGGGTTAGTCACAAGTGGATCCTTAGGCAGGGAAGCTTTATGATGCATTTTACTGAATGATTAGGGATTACTCTAGTATTCATGAGCAAATAATCACAAGATATGTCCCCATGAGCCATACAAAGTGGGTTTGTTATAGATGAACCTGCCACTGCCAAATTTATTGCTTTAAAAGACTTTTCTTAATTTCTGATAGACTTTAAAATGACAAACATTTTCATGACAGAGAAACTATTGAATAAAATTATTCCTAGTCCTAGTACCCCATAGGGGGGGGGCATTCAGAATTTATTTAACTTTTCAATGCCACTTGAATTAATTTTATTAGGTCCTTTTCTTTAAACCAGTTCAAAAAAGTTAAAGAAGTGATCAACAAACATTCATTCTGTAGGAATAAACAGGATTGAACAATATTCCATATTATCAGCCCAGAGGCCAGAAGGGTGTTTAACATATATAGTTAGCATCTTTTTGGTTCTCAAAAATGATATTATACATGTGAATACTGTTTGATTGTAAAGTGTTCATTATTATCAAATGTTGGACAGATGATGATTTTAATGTATCAAGTTAAAAAACAAATCTTATCAAAAAAAAGCTATCAATTTTATCAATAAAGTGTTGAACAAAGATTGCGTAGCATAATCAATCATGTCATACATGTAGCATTACACCTCACCAATATCCTTTACTTTAATAGTTTACATTTTTGTCAATAACTTGTTATTATATTGAATCTGTTTATTGTAACTGCCTGGATGGATATGTTGCACGTTATAAATGTCTGCATAATCTTTTTTCTCATTTCTTCATTTTCATTTATTAAATGCACATAGACAGACTGGTGTATCATGCGCTATGAAAGCATAATTCATTCTTATCATAAGAAATTTTTATTATCATTATTAAGACTGTGTATCATTATAAATGTCTGCATAATAATTTTTCTCATTCTTTCATTTTCATTTATTAAACGCACATAGACAGACTGGTGAATTAAGTGCTATGAAAGCATAATTCACTGTTATTATAAGAAATGTTATCATCATTACCATTAAGACTGTGTATCAATTCTCTTGAGATCTCAAGCCTCGCTGTCACAGCGTTGCTGTCGACAGTCTCTGCATCATCTCTCTCACAACAATGCACGTGTTAAGAAACATTGAGATTACCTGGATAATCTGCTGGATTAGCTAAGTAGGGGATTACTCACCCAGATCCCGCAGCATGAGGAGGAGTCTCTCGTCGGCCTTAGAGCTCGCTATGACGCAGCAGGGCTGCAGCTGATGGCAGACTGGTGATGGGATATGGATGATAGGATGCAGAGAGAACAAGTAACCAAAGAGAAATTAAGCATTTGAGAAATGGATCGGGAGAGAATGCATATATATAATAATAATAATAATAATACATATGATTTATAAGGTGCCAAATCCACTTGACAGTCAAATGCTCAAGGCGCAGCTTGTGCAAAAGATGAAATACATACATGATACATTTATACAAAGTGCGATAGGAGAGGTACAGACATGAAAGGTAATGGTAATCAATTATAAGCTAAATTAAACAGATATTTCTTAAGATATGGAAAGTGAAATAGATTCAAGAGAAGAGAGACAAGAGAGGCATATATTCAGAGAGAAATAAAAAGAGAGAGGATTGAGATAGATGACAAATTGAAGAGAGAGAGAGAGGAAGAGAGATAGAGAAAGAGAGAGAGAGAAAGAGAGAGAGAGAGAGGGGAGGAGAGAGAATTAAAGAGTTTGAAAGCTTTGTCAGCTACATGTAACATGGTTTATCGGATCCTGTGATCACATTTTTCTTTTTAATGTAATCATAATGATCCACATAATACATTTTACTGACGTTATTACATGACAAGTTTGTTATCTGTTATACTCTTTCTTTTTCTCTTTACTCTAGCTCCCCCCCCCCCCTCCTCTCTCCCTCTCTCTCTCTTTCATATTATCCATTAATTTATTTTACCCATCTTTCTGAATTGATTCCTCTAATTTCCTGACAATGCATACATGTGTATAATTATGATAAATCGTAATTATTGCATATTTCTTCAAACACCTGAGACCTAAACATAGAAGATAATTGGACCAAGTTGTCATGAATTACAATTATATCAAAGCATTCATTTTACAGCTCTTGTAATACAATGTCACATGGAAGAAATATACTGGCACAAAGAAACATAATATTATATTGGAAAGGTTCTATTATGTTTGAAGTAGACAGAGTTTCTACATCTTAGAAAAATAATGTTATTGCAGACAGCTAAAAGGATTTCCTTAATTGATAAAAGCATGTGATTGCTGTAATAACATGTCTATTTCCTAGTTTTCTAGAGTTCAAATCCTCTTGAATCAATAACATTGGTATATGCAGATGAACTATTTTATTTTGGAGACATTTCCAGAAATTATTGTATTGTATTGTATTTATTTATTCATGGTAAAAACTCACTATCGGTCACAACAGACTGCTTTTCAGTGAGTCTGTGCATATTGTAAAAAACAAGTGAAATTAACACAATATCATTGACAAACAAATATAGAATAAATATAAATATCTACAAAAAAGTATTGAAAAAAAAATGAAAATCACAAGAAGAGAATCAGAAACTATGTATGATGAATAATCAGTTTAGGTTTACAACTTTCTAGAAATGTGGAGTTATTCAATGGCAGTTATCTAGGTATAAACCTCGACATGTCTTGGTGATCACTGGTAATAATAACTCAACATATTTTCACTCCTTACAATCAAACTGAATCATTCATAATATTTGTTTCAATGAAATAATGAAATATTAATATTTCTTTTCATGGTAGCTATGATTGGTACAGCTGGATCCAACTCAATCATAGAACTTTTAAGTGTGAATCGGGTCAAAATGGTTCAACAGACAATAAGTACTTAATATAGAAAATTACCGAAAATGAGGATGCATGCCATTTTGAATAAAGATCGTTAACACCTTCCTGTCAACAGCAGACAGTTTCTTCCAGACTGAGAACTTCAACTGTTTTGTTAATCAAATCACAACTGCACAAAATCTATGCATGATTAATCAAAACAATGTCCTTGTTTGGAAGAAAATGTACATCAACTTGATGACTCACAAATTATGAGAAGAGCACTTAACAACGGAATCTCTCAGAATCCAGGAAGTCCAAAGAGAAAGGTAGAAATTTATCCCACTTGCGATTCACTCTGTGAGGATGATCGAGAACCTCCATCTATTTGTTTCCTCAAAACACATTTCCTGACAATTGAGAAAGGTTGGGCAGTAATTAAATTCTGAAGATCACACACACTCTTATAATACAAATATTTTCTTAAACAGAGACACGTACGTGAGATCCTTGCAGAGGATATAATGAATGGACAAGGATAAATTGCATATTCAGGATACACTTCACATATCTACTTCACGTCAATGATGCTACTTATCCAACCTGGTTATCCTTGTTTGGTAGGTATACCTCCACAAGGTAGGATACTTTCGACGATCACGAGTGCTTAGTTAATGATATAAATATGACACGAGTGTAGGAAGATAATTGATAAATAAGGGTTATCATAGCCTCTTCCTCTCATTTTCCACTCCTCCTGGTTGTGAAATTAAAATAATTAATGGTAATCCCCCCCCCCCTCTCTCTCTCTCTCTCTCTCTGTCTCCTGTAGGTACATTTCTCTTTCTTTCTTTCTGTCTTTCTTTCTATCTATATTATATTTCTTTATCTCTCTCTTTCTTCTCTAGACCTATTCATCTATTTCTCTTTCTTTCTTTCTCTCGTTCTTTCCATCAATCCTGTATCTTTCTCTCTCTCTCCTTCTCTCTCCCCTCTATCTCTTTCTCTCTCTTCTTCTCTCTTGCATCATTTTCAATACAAATGTATTTCAATTCTGTATTTTGAATAAAATATACTTCCTTTTTGGGCATGTGATACTAGATTATTTCCTTATAAGGAGAGTGACGATGTAGATCGATTTCAAGGAAGTATTTACCATTTTCACATGTTCTTAATTAGCTGTGTTAGAACAATTACATTAATGAATGGGAATTTACACATGTTTAAATTTTAAAGGCATTTCCCTACATCTTGTACAAGCAAAATGCATCTCATATGATAGTGACACAATTCATCAGTAGAGTTGACAATTTGCCACCAAAATTTAATATCGTTTACCGGTATGTTTTTACTAGACATGAAAAAACTTGAATTTCTCCTTGGGAGTCAAAATGGACTATTTGATTTTGAAGCTGAATATCATGAAACAGTGTTTTAATCATTTTTTTATATAAAATTGTATAAAAGAAAATTTATATCATAAAACCATCCAACCTATAAAATTGATGGAACATTCAGAATTGTGGGGAGGGGGGGGGGGTATATCAAGTTTTCTTATCCTGTATCCAAAAACATGAAAAACTTGAAAAATGTATATGAGATTATTAACTGATATGAAGAATTTTCTATTACCATAAATCTCTGTGTATAAGGCACACTTTTTTGCCGCCGAAAAAAATTGAAAGTCGGGGGTGCGCCTTATTCACAGGTACAGATCTTCTTTTTTTTTAAATTTATGGCGCTATGTCTGGCAATGTCTCCCAGCTCAGTAATCAGTGTGTTGACTCACCACTCGGAAACTACAACAACATTAAAATTTGTCCGTCACCTTGGTTTGAAAGTAATCTTTCTAATAGATCTAAATATGTAGTTTATAATAATAATTCCTCAATTTTTTTTATATAACAAATGGTGTACCACAAGGTTCTATCCTAGGACCTAGGTACTCTATTGTTTTTTAATTTACATTAATGATCTTACACATTCTTCTAAAAACGACATTGTTACTATTATTTGTGACAAGTTTACAAGCACAAATCAGCGCCTTTAACTGCACCTCGATGTTAAATGAAGGTCCTTCCCCGCGTGGGTTTTCGGCAACAAAACAACAACAACAACAAAACAAAAAAAACATTTTTTTTTTTTTTCCCTCCCCCAAAAAAGGGGTGCGCCTTATACACGGAGATTTACAGTAATTTTTGTATTTCTAACTTGCTAAAATGGTTAAAATGGATATTCATGAATTAACAATTTGCTCATATTTTAATGCTCTCATATTTGGTGAACACTCTGTAAGAGGATTTATTTCCTTATTTGACAATGTAAAAGATGAAGACAAACAGTACCAGCATTCTTTTTTCATTTATCTCATTCACTTAAGTGTTTGGAAACAATAGCCAGTACATTCAAAGCGAATATTAGTACAAGGAAGTGGAAGGAGCATAAGAATGAAATTCAATACGAATGAAAGTTTAGATGTCTTGATGAGTATTTAAGTACCTTGGGAGTGTCTTAGATGATCTACTATTCAGACATTTTTGATGTTATTTATTCTATACTTGAAGGAGAGTTTTCATATTAGATTTTACAGTAAATTTATATAATGAGGTTGGGCTACTTTTATCAAATAAAAAGGGATTAAACATTATATATTTCAATAGAAGATTGTGGGCGGGAGGTGGGATAGGCGCACACTTAACAAGTCTGAACATCCTCTAGATCAACCACTGCTTTTCATCACATGATTATTCAAGACTTACAGGACTAGGAAAAAACATGTTTTGATTTTTATGGGTGGGCAGGTTCATTTCTTTTTTCCGTTCTACTTTTCTTAGGCTTTTTTCTTCTTTTCTTTCTGTTTGTTCCTTTTCCGCTCAATGTTTTTGAAGTACTTTAATAAGAGTAGGTCCTTAATTCAAAGAGTAATTATAGAACAAAGGACATAATTTAAGAACTTTGTAAGCAATCTTATAAGATAATGATTGAAGTTCATTTCATTTCATTACATCACATCACATGTTTTTCCACACATGTGAGAAAGTTACAATTTCATTGATTTCAATAGCGCTTTTCCGTTGTTTCATTTTCTTTGCATAACACTTGAATTTCCACATGACAAAATCAATCATGAATAATGACCATTTAAAAGAAAGTTTCAACTTTGCACAAGGCATGGAAGTACTTGAGGTAACATAGTAAATTGTTTTTTAGTGATCAAACAACAATATAGCTATGTATACCAGTGATATGACTGTATAATGGAATGGTGGTGGTTATTTTACCTGATTGCTAAGAAAGCATAAATGCTTGTAAGTAGGCAACCAGACGGCCGAGGGCTTTAGGTCCTCTCCCATGGACCTGGTAATGAGGATTAATGCCTTACCAAAGGGCACTAGCGCATCGCCTTGGTTTCGAACCCGGGTCACCA